TATCTAAGAGCTGGGCTTGCCAGTAATAAAGATTAACTAAAGGTGCTGTTGAAAGAGAGATATTCAGGAAAGAATTCAGGCAAATCCAAAGCTAGTCCAGGAGATGGCAGGACTGGAGGCAGAGGTTTGGAAATCCCAAAGGGTCGAGCCCCAGCCCGTTGGTCCCCAATCTCCCCCCCCTTACCTGGGGCTTCAGGGCATCCTGCGGCACGCAGCGGCCGTCCCAGCACAGCCCCCCGGCTTTGCAGGGGGTGCCGTCGGCCCACGGCAAGCTGCCGTTCTTGGTGTGGCAAAGGGGCTCCCCGCTGCCGGTCCTGCACCAGAGCTGGGCGCAGATGTCCTCCTCCGTGGTGTTGGGGCAGTGCTGGAAGTCCTTGCCGAAGATCTGCTGGCATTGCTGGTCCAGGCTGTACAGGGCTCCTTGGCCGGGCAATTCGGTGGGCAGGGAGAGGGGGTCGGCCGGGGCATCGAGCAAGCAGTCACCTGGGGAAGGCAGAGATGCATCAAGGCTTGACTCCATGCACCAAGCAGGGCACCCCAAACCTCTGTCCGTGCTCTGTTTTGAACCCCTTTCATCCCACACACCCCTCAAGGCTTTGCAAAAAGCCTGAGCAATTAAGGAAAAGGCTTTCTTAAATGATGGTGGTGGTGAGTTGATGTTTGGACACGATGATCTTAGAGGTCTTTTCCAACCTTCATGATTCTATGATTCTCTGAGGCTCCTTACCATGCCCTCCATCCAGGAACTCGGTGAGGTACATGGCGCTGCAAGGGGACCACGGCTGGGTCTTGTTCAAGTGGATGAAAAGAGGAGCCATCATATGGTGCTTGCCGAGGGGCCCGAAAAGCCGCTCGCAGGTCTTGGAGTCATCGTGGGGCATGCTGAGCACGTGGCCTGGGGAGCAGAGAGCATCGGTGAGCCTGCAGATGATGCGTGGGCAGCTGGGAGCATCTATAACTTATCAAGCAGTTCGTGTTTGCTGCAAAAGCTATTTGCTTCGATAAATCAGAAGCGATAAACAAAATGGTGCGTGCTTGCTCTATCTCGAAGGTACGGCCCGCTGTACGCGGGGCAAAGCAGCCCAAATTAGTCAGCGCATCTCCAGGGGCAGCAAACCAAAGGGGAGAAGTGCTTGGTCCCACGCCTTAGCTCATCACATCAGGCAACCACACCAATTTACACCAACTCAGGGACTTCTAAGCGCATTTGCTGGTGCAAACCAGCTTCTGCCGGTGCCAGAAGTTCCTCAGCGCTGCCCAAGGCTTGGCGGGTGGTACCCAGCTGGGAGATGCTGGTGCTGGGCTGTGCTACATCCCCTCCCAGCCCCGCTACTGGCCACGCCGGGCTGAAAAAGCAGAAATGCCCTTGGGAAGGGATGCATTACCCAGTTCGTGAGCCAGGGTGTAGGCCGCCTGCAAGCCCTCGTCCTCAATCACCGAGCAGCTTTTGTTGCGGTCGCACATGGTGCCGATATCCGCCACTCCCAGCGTGTCGCAGCTTTGGTGTCCGCAGAAGTCCTGTTTGCGAGCAGCGCCCAGGGGGGGTAAGGCAGGGTGAAGGGGTCCCACGTTCGGCAGCCCCAACATCTCTGAGCAGAGCTGGGCAACCCACTGGGGCTCTGCACCCCAAATGCAACCACTCCCCCAATTGCTTTGCTGCAAGCTCCATCCTTTGCATGGTGGGGGGATCCCTCTTCTCCCTCCAGAGACACCTCGACCCCTTTCCTTTCCCCCCCAGAGCATCCCCAAGGGACCCTTCAGACCTGTCTCGTCAGCAGGATGGCAGTGTCGTAGTGCTCCGGGTGCCGATCGCTCGGGGGGTTGAACCTTTGCTGCCAGCTGCAGAAGTTGCGCAGGGGGAGCCCGCCGTTGTCGGACACCTCCGGCCCCGCCGTCGCCTCGTCCACCACCAGCACCTTCACCACCACCAGGTTGATGGAGTTTTTCAGGCTGGGGTGCTTGTAGATGCGAGCCGCCATGGACATCAGGGTCAGGACGTGGTTCTGCAGGGGGAGAGAGGGGCAGGCAAAGCCTGGGTGAAATCTTTGCCTCAGCGCTCTTTTTTTTGCGTTGGGAAAGGGGAAATCAACCTCATTTATGACGCCTACCACATCCAGACCGACGCGGGCATCCACCTGGGTTGATAGACCAAGTGCTGCCTTTTCTATATGTGATGCTTCACGCTCTGCGCTGGTGGGAAGGACGGGCAGGACAATCCCACCCCTGCATCCCCTTCTCCACCTGCTGCGAACCCTTTGCACCCAGAAACCCTTCAGGAAAACCTCATGCATCCAGGCGAGTGCTCTTGCATATTCCCAAAGCATTAACCCTGCCCTCACCGCCCCCGGGGCAGGAACTGCCTCGTGCACAACGTTCCCATGGGAGCAAAACCACCCTCGCAGGGCTGTAAAAGTCCTGCCTGTGCTGGTCGACGGGGTTGGAACCCAACGTCCGCGGTGACAAACGTTGGCCAAAGCACTTTGACGGCCGAGTCTTCGCCCAGCAGCATCCCCTGCTCGGGCGACTGGGACGACCAGAGATTACTTAATATGTCAAATGCGCCAGGGATGTTTAGGCTGATGTAAACATCTTATCGGAGCATGGAAATTCCTCCTCTGCTTGGCACCCGTTCACGGTCCCGGAGTCAGGAGAAAAAAATGCAGCTATTACACAATATAGTATTGGGAAAGAGAAAGTGGCTTCTCTCCTCCCCAGACAAATTACACCCCGTGGTCTCGCTTCAGCGCCATTATCTAATTAAACTGGAAGGACTCGGTGGAAGCCCTCTCCGACGGCTGAGTTTCACTCAAAATCCATGTTTCCTGAGTGGATCTGGCTCTGCGCGCTCATCCGTCACGATGCTGCCGAGACAGTGATCTGCACAAAATGTCATTTTCTTAGCAAATGAGGGAGATATTTGGGGAGATACTCCCCTCCCCTAACAGCAACGGAGTATTTGCTGCACCGAGAGCCGCTCGCCCAGGGCGGTTGTGGCTATTTTAAATTATTCTGCCACATTTTCTCCCGTCGCTGGCAGCTCCATGTAAACAGATGTCTCGCTTCAGCAAGACGTATCCCAAGTCCTCCCCGGCTCATTATCCGAGGGCAGGCCCCGGCAAGGATGATGGGAGCGCTGAATAGACTGGTTTATTTAGACTGGCCAGATCTCCACGACGTGACTCACATCCCAGCCCGAAGCATGCAACAAATGTCACGGAGAAGTCACCGCCAAGGCAAGAAACCCAGGTGAGATCCCCGCGAGCGGTTGCTCCGGGGGACTCTTCACCCCTCAGGGAAAGTCCCCTGGGAACCTTCCTAAAAATATCACAAAGCCTTCCTAAAATGACATGTGTGAAGACCTAGAAAGATGCTCTCCACATCACGGGATCATCCCTCATTTCCAAGGAGCAAATCCTGCCCCGTCCTTTTCTAACCCATTACAGGTTTCTCTCCATCCTGGTAGTTGTTACCTCTCAGTCCCTACTGCAAATCCCCCAGGACACCGACCCTCGAATGCAACCAAGAAACTCTTTCAGCAGCAG